TAAAATAATTCTTTTTAGAAAAAAAAGTCAATTAACAGTTAAATTACTGTCTCCGAAAGTTAAATAACTGTTGGAGACAGTAATTTAGAAACGAATACAGTAATATTAATTAAAATATTTAAAAAAAAAGTCAATTAACAGTTAAATTACTGTCTCCGACAGTTAAATAACTGCTAGAGACAGTAATTTAGCAGCCAAGAGAGTAATATTAATTAAAATATTTTTGAAGAAAAAAAAAAGTCAATTAACAGTTAAATTATTGTCTCCGACGGTTAAATAACTGTTGGAGACAGTAATTTAGTAGCAAAGACAGTAATATTAATTAAAATATTTTTTTTAAGAAAAAACAAAATTATAAAAAAAAAAAAAAAAAAAAGTCAACGCTGGAGACCGGCGGTCTCCGGCAGTCAACGGCGGCTGACCGGCGGTCTTCGGTGGTGGCGGGTCAAAATTGGGGCAGAGTTAAAATTGGTTAATTGATGAAATTTGGCTAAATTGGGCGTGTAAATCATGAAATTTGGAGTTGAATTGGGTTTCAATGAATTATGGGTAATTTTGGTATATATAAAAGGATTTTCCTTATTTGCAAATAAGTTTGAATGTGTTGGATTTATTTGATAGACAAAAAAGTTGGATGTCCCTCTTTTAATTAAGTGCCCTTGTCATTGACCTATTTGCCATTTAGCCATTATTTAATTAATTATGACTAATCTTAACAGCCAAGCAACAGTTAATTATATGATTTGGACTTATAATATGTTGAAAATTAAAATACTATATAATTTGGTACCTAGACCAAGGTTTCAGTCAACAATTTGAAGGCATGATGATGCACGCATCACCATCAAATAATTCAACGTTTTAACAAAAGCAAGAAAATCTATATAATTTATTTATGTTAAGAACTTTTTTTTTTATAACGGGCATAATCAGGTGTGTTCACTTGGCTGGTAAACCAATCGAACCATATTCAGTTCGGTATTCGAAAAATATTTTTTGGAATTCCGTTATTTGGTACGGTATACAATATTGATTCACCGGTATACCGTACCAAATACTGAAATATTTATATATTTTTTAAATTCTTTAAGATCATATTTTTAGATTGATAATATTTTTCATTAATTATAAATTAGCCTTTATTGATAATCACCTTTTGTTTTTAGGCCCGATTATTGATATTTGAATGTCAAATCCAAGAATTAAATAGTTTAAATATATTTTTTTACATTCTTTAAAATATTAAAATAAATTTTCAATTTTATCGATACCGAATCGAATAAACCGAATTAATTCAGTAAAAAAAAGTATCGACCCGAATGGTACGGTACATCTAGACGGGTACAAATTTAAGTCCTAGAATTTATGTTTACCAAAATTCCGATACGATTTGTTACGGTGTTACCAAATGAACACCCCTAAACATAATTTGTATTTATGGCTTATCTCCTCTTATTTTGCAGATGCTACACTTAATAAAATATATATTATGTATTTTACATCATAAGTCTAAACATAATATATATAAGGATGTGTTTAAATAGCTAGTTGATTATACACATGTCACTAGTAGAAAACTTTCTTTTTAATATGGATTTTTGTATTACGGTCAAAAGTCGTAATAAAAGGGACTTTTCACTATGGGACAATTTTGAAGTCGTAGTAAATATTAGGATTTACCGTAGCAAAAAAATATTTGGTACGGCCATTTACTGTAGCAAATTTTATGTCACGCCTGTATATACTACGGGGCAAACTCATAGCAAATACGTAGCAAAAAATTTTTTACTACGAATTTGATACATTTTAATATGGTTAATGGTCATAGTAAAATGCCATTTTCTACTAATGTGGGTATAGTGAAATTATACTTGATAAAATTCATCATGGGTAGGTTCAAATAAACTCATCAGTATAAATAACTAGAGGAGTTGATTGTGATGATGAACTTCTTGCTGAAACATTGTGGAAATGTTTTATGTGATAGGGTTTCGGCGTGAATATAGGATAATGTTGGGTAAACGTGGCTATTAACTAAATTAATAACGGGCGAATGGCAAATAGGTCCATGACAAGGGACTTAAATGCACACAGAGATAGACAAAAAACAGTCTTTCAAACAAACTCATCCTCATATCTTTTGTCTAAAATACCATTCATAATATAATTTTTATCAATTCCATCCACTATACTCTAACTTCATCAATATTAGTATATAACACATTAACCCTGGATTTAAACAAATATATCCCATTAACCCACATTTTCATAATTTTTTGATTTTTTTTTTCACAAAATAATTTTTTTCTGATTTTTTTTTCCGGCCAGATCCCGGCATTAACTTTTTTTTTTTTTTTTTTCTGACCGGTCTCCGGTGTTGGCTTTTTTTTTTTTTTATAACTTTTTTTTTTCTCTCTAAATTACTATGTTAACAACAAAATGATTGTCTAAAATAGTAATTTTGAATACCAAAACAGTAATATTATGAATATTACTTTCTCGAACAATAATATTACTAATATTACTGTCCCAAACAGTAATATTGCAGGCGACAGTAATATTACGGTCGAAGACATCAAAAGTGCAGGCCAAGACGATAAAATTAATTAATACAGTAAAATTATTGTTTCAGACAGTAATATTACTGTCTCAGACAGTTAAATTACTATTGCAGACAATAATTTAGCAGCCAAAACGGTAATATTAATTAATATTTTTTTAGGAAAAAACCAGTTTTCAAAAAAAAAAAAAAAGAATTAGCGCTGAGACTGGCGGTCACCGGCGGTGGGGGGTCAAAATTGGTTAATTGGTGAAATTGGGTTAAATTGGGGTGTAAATCATAAAATTGAAGTTGAATTAGGGTTTCAAGGAATTGGGGGTAATTATATATAAAAAAGGTTTTCCTTATTTGCAAATAAGTTTAAATTAGCTGGATATATTTGGAAGACAAAAAAGTTAGATGTCCTTTTTTTGATTAAGTGCCCTTGTCATGGGCCGATTTGTCATTTATCCTTAATTAAAAGGGTATAAACGAATTAAAATATCTAATACAACTTATTATTATTTACAGAAATGCCATCAACCGAAAAAGTTGGGTCAAACCTACGTTTGAAATTATAGCTTAAAATAGCTTATTTAAAAAAAAAACAAAAATAGAGATTGGTGTTACAAACACAAAAAAAAAATAGATTATGAGACAAGAAAAGCGTTTGCAATCACCCCTTAAATAACATGTTGAACCATGCGTCCATGCGTGTGATATCATGCCTATAATTTATTGAAGGTGATTAATAATATATATCCTAGACAACTAACCTTGACATGCTTTCAGTTGACTAATTTATTTATAAAATTGTTTTTTTTTTTCCATAAAAGAATCAAAACAACATGACAATTGAGACAGCTACATTTTATGCCAGCTAATTTTTATTTTTATTTATATTTTTCTCTTTTTATTTGTGAAAATAGAGTCTTATTCATGTTAGGCTGTTTTAATGATGTTGAATGTGGCCACGTCATTCGAAGTAGTGTGCAAAATTGGACAAATGAAAGGTGCAGCCGAAGTACAATTTGACAAGAACAATTGAAATGGACTCTAGAGGGCACAATAATAATTTTCAGTCTAAAATGTTCATTTCCATTCTAAGCTCGTAAATAAAGCTGCCCGATGGACTTTTAGCAATGTGTGTCTAGACCGTTGGCCATGCCCCCAGTGTAACACCCTCGTTTGGCGGGCATTTCCTAGGGTGACCATTCACCATTTTGGATTCTGAGCCGAGCTCTTACCAACCATTTATATTAATCCAAACGTGCAAAGTTCAAGAACAAATACTTCCCCACAGATAACGCCAGGTTATGCAACCGATATGGCTAATATGAGGAATAAGAAAGAATATGGTGGATAAATATGAAGAAGTCCAAGAAGAAGCCCAAAAGCAAGCCACGAGCTAGCTCAATTGACCTACAAAGGAGTGCCAGGGATGGTCTCCCAGCGTTAGCACTTTGACGATCAAGTTAGCGAATTTAAATGGGAGAAATCAGTGTATTATTAAAGTAGAGTATTGAGATATGACATTTTTTTAGTGCCCCACGACTGCTATTTGTACCTGCCTAACGGATGAGGTGGTGGGAACCTCTATTTCTTTTACCTCTATTTGTACCTGCGTGGGGCTGACATGACTCTTCTGAGCTGTTGACCTGCAAGAGGCGAGCCCTTTCTAGGGCTCGTGAGCAATACTAGTGCCTTACAGGAGAGGTCGCCCTTCTCCGAATCTGACGTGGACAATTTTCCTATCAAGGCTTTCCCCCCGTCGTAACCGCACATGCGGTCTTGTCAGCCAACTGCCGCCTGCTCCGCCTATAAGGGGCGTGGGGATGGCTCATGGGCCTGGGCCTCAGCTCTTGGGTTTGTATGATTTGTACTTAACGGACCTTCAAGGCAATTGGACCCGTATAACTCGTTATATTTGACATGTGAAAGATATCAAAGAGGATGGGGTGCAGAGACACGATACGTGGGACAAAGAAATGTCACTATTCGTTCACGCTGAGCTTATACTGAATCAAAGTGACGATTTTCTTGTACAGGTTTTTCATGTTTGTCGTTTACAATTTTTTCGTATTAAATTCCGAACGCCCTCTCGATCAATCCGAACACACAACATCACCGCGTAAAAAAGAATGCATTTCATCAAACAATTATCTCTATACACAGAGCCCTTGCTTTAATTTCTCTATGTGTTACCACTATTTCCCACAACCAAAAAAAACAAACATATAATCTTATATTTCATTCAAGATCAAGAATGAAAAAACCACAATACAAGTAGAGAACTTAAGGGAAAAATATTTAAATATATATATATATATATATATATATATATATATATATATATATATATACCTAATAATGTACTTTTAGCCTCCTACTATATCCTTTAGACACAATCATCTTTGTCATTAATGCAAATCATGTTTTGGTTGTGATCAAGAATTCCTTCTGCTCTATGATTTTATATCCTGAGTGTCACTTTTATCAGTGTCGTAATTCTCTCGTTGAGAATCCATCTCAATGCTACTCGCCCGTGTTCTTCTGTTCCTTCGATCCTATAATAATTGAACCCCAATAAATATCAAAAACAATTCCATTGTGTGCCGGCTTCTATTTAGAAATAAAACTAAAAAGTCAAGTGAAATCGCATTAATACTCGAGTATTAGTACGTAAATGAAATTTATGACCAAATTAATTGACCATTTTAACCTTTTCAAAACTAAAATGTGTTTATGTCAATGTCTATATAGTAATCTTGAAGTAGTGATTTTTCCAGATTCATTCAAATCACATTAATTTGCCGAAAATCGAGAATCATTTTATACAATTCAATAGTAGTTGATTTGTTTGTTTTAGGGTGATATTTTTGCTAGTCCAATCCGGTGTTTTTATATTTATATTTACGCATGGATTTATTTATCGGGTTTAAAAATTTATCAAACACGTCGCCAAAAAAAAAAAAAAAACCAATTTAAAATTAGTAAAAAATGACCTTTTTACCCTCACCAACTTTTATGTTCTTTTTTCAAACTTCTTAATTAGAACAAGTACCTCTCTTGGAATGGGATATTCTTCGGATTCAAGCATTCGAACAACTTGACTCATCCTAGGTCTTTTGTCTGAATCCGGATCAACACATCTCAAAGCTGTCAAAAGTGCCCTTTTGAGTGCTCTAGTCGAAGGCCTCGTCTCTATATTCGGGTCCACCACTTCTTCCGAACGCCTATTTCCCACCATCATTTTCAACCAGTCCACCAAATTAACCTGCAATTTTATTTATTTAATTTTATTTTTATTTTTTGCATTAAAAAACCTCCAATTATTTGAAACTTCTACATTTTTAACGAAAACACCATTTCCGAACGTCCCTTTGCATAACGAATTTTTAGAACGTATATTTGTTTTTTTATTGGACATAAATTTTATTCTTAAAGAGGTAAGAATTTGAAATTTAAAGTATAAATGAATTCAATCAATGACTTTGTTTGTTATCATGGAAATGGAATCTTCACAATTAAAAATTTCGATCCAAACAAAGCCTTACGAGAATAAATATGCATAAAAAGTCTGATAATAATAATATATAATGTGCGACAGATAAATACCTCTGGAGCAGGGCGACCGTAGTCGACTGGATCCCTTCCAGTAATTGCTTCTAATAGCAAAACACCGAAGCTATAAACGTCACTCTTTTCGTTTAAAAGTCCAGTATTCGCATATTCAGGAGCAACATATCTGCAAATTATTTTATTTAAAAAAAATAAATATACGAGTGGATGAAGTAATTTCTACGATAAATCTAACGCAAAGCTTATATACAGTAGAACCTCGATAAATTAATAACCTCAATTAAATAATAGTTTCTCTCGGTCCCGACTCGGTGAAAACGTGTTAAATTATTCACTCGATAATTTAATAATTCGCTAAATTAATAGAATTTCCCTAGTCCGACTGTATTAATTTATAGAGGTTGATAATTTAATAATTCGCTAAATTAATAGAATTTCCCTAGTCCCGACTGTATTAATTAATAGAGGTTTAGCTGTATTAATCCAACATTTCAATTGAAAAAAATAAATATGGGTTGCAAACAAAATAGTGAGCAAACGAAATAAATAAATAAATAATAATAAATAAAAAAACGAAAAACGAAAAACAAAAAAAACTGACCCAAAGGTACCCATGACTCGAGTGGTAATATGACTTTTCCCAGCACCAAGTAGCTTAGCAAGACCGAAATCAGAAACCCTAGCATTGAACTCTTCGTCGATCAATATATTGCTCGATTTTATATCTCTGTGAACCACTTTCGGTTCAATTGCCTCGTGCAAATACGCAAGACTGCAACAATAACCGCATTTAGATATGTAGCAAAATTAAAATAAATTAAAATAAAACAAAAAGCTTTTTTCGTTCGACTTACGCTTTAGCTGTGCCGAGCAGAACTTTTGTCCTGGCTTCCCATGTAAGATATCCATGGTGACGCATTGCACCATGAAGCCACTGTTCTAAATTTCCGTTGTTGACGTACTCGTAAACTAGCATTCTAAAAAAACATTAATTTTCAGTTAAATAAATTAACCGTCGTTTAAGGTTTCAGCATAGGTATTAAGAAAGCTAATAAATACGAAACAATTTTACGTAAAAGATACATAACAGGACTAAAATACCCCTAATGTTTGGGTAATTACAACCACCCCTCAGCTATGGATATTCTTACACGTCCACTTCTGCGGCGTCAAATTTAGTGAAATCTTCTAAATTATGTGAAATATTCTCAAGTTTATACTCGTTTTACGCTATTCGAGGTCCATATTTTGAAACAAAATGATCATAAGATGTGTTTTTTGGCTTGTAAATATCGGCTTATGGTGGTGCATCAGAAATTGCATTTTTGCACAAAACGAGTACAAACTAGAGAAAAGTCCACGGAATCTAGAAGATTATGTTGAATTTGACACCATAAGGGTGGTCGCGTAAGAAGATTCATAATTTAGGGGTTGGCAGTAATTACCCAAACAAGGGGGGTTTTTTCGTAATTTGACTTTACCTGATGGGGTGGCCATAATTTACCCTAAAAAATTCCAAGAAATAAATACATTTTAGGAGTAAAATTCGGACTCGAACTACTATTGTATGATTCGGAGCTTCAAATGAAAATCATTTTAAATCACAAAATGTTAGGAGCTATAAACGTATCAAAAATATCGTATTCCACTTTAGTAAAAAAAAAAAAAAAAAAAAAAAAAAAAAAAAATCGACGGCCAAATTAGCAAGACTATACCTATGAGTTCCTTCGATACAATATCCGAGAAGTCGAACCAAATTCTTATGCCTCACATGTCCAATAGCCTCGACCTCAACTCTAAATTCCTTTTCGGCTTGACCTCTGTTTTTGCATAACAAAACAATTAAAAAAGCATCAAACTTTTACGAACACGAAAAAAAAATCTATAAATAAGAAAACAAGTAAAAAAAGAACCCGAAAAACTCACAAGTTGTTTAGAAGCTTCTTAACCGCGACATGAGTTCCATTAATAAGCTGCCCTCGATAAACAACTCCATAGCCACCTTCTCCAAGTACATTCTCCTTCGAAAATTTATTAGTAGCTTGTTCGAGGTCTCGTAAAGTAAACCAATGGCCCCACCCCAAGTGAGAAAATTCAGGTAAACCACTTAAAGGCGAAGGAGCCGTTACTATTGGATGTGAAGAAGAAGAAGGTTTATTATTATTATTATTGTTAAATACCGAAAACGCCCCCTCTTCGCCCGATTGTGATTCGCAGTAATCTTTGTCTACGTGATGGAACGAGCCCGATTGGCTGCTGTTATCTTTGGTGATTCCTAAGTGGACCATAACTTTGTCGGATTCTTTATTGCTTGATTTGTCGTGGATTGTGAGGAGAATGCCGTCAGTAGGGGCGAAATGGTCCGATGATATTTGCTCGACTCGTACTTCTTTTATTTCTTTCGAGATGGTGGGTATTTGGCTGAGGGGGAGGCTTTTCGGTTGAGATTTTTTTAATTTTTTACGTGAAGTTAGGTAGAACGTTAGTATAAAGAGGATTGTTATGATTAGTAACGCGACGATTATCCCGATAATTTCCCACACTTTGAGGCCTAAAATGCCGGCGTTTTTCGATAGTTCGGTGTTCAGATTAGTACCCATTGTTGAGGATTTTCAAAGAAACCTGTGGAATTTAGACAATCCTAGGCTTCAATAAACAGCATAGAACAAAAGGGGCTTTCTTGCAAATAAACAATACTTGAGGGGGCAAAAACAAAATTATGCAACAAAGTGTGGCAGCAGAAAACATGACTGCATAAATCAGTACAGACTACAGAAACAAGATCCACAAGCAGATATAATCTCCCACATTTAATAAATTGTATTAATATTTAATTAAAAATCTAACCTTTTTAAGAGAGATAATAAAACAAACAGTCCCTCAAAGGGCAGATCTTGAAAACCCCATCAAAAGAACTCAGCTCCAAGAAACCTTAATAAAAACAAACAAAACCCACATTTCAAGAATGTCCGGAAAATCAAATCTTTACTACAGAGCCACGCTCTAAAATGGGCAAATCATTTTTTTACTGAATGCTTGCTGGAATGGGTTTTTGCTGATTATTAATGGATATAATATTATTGTTGTTGTTTTGTTTGTGGTGGTTAATCAGGTAAAGGAATATAAATAAATAATATGATGAGAGAGAGAGAGAGAGAGAGAGAGAGAGAGAGAGAGGGGGGATGAAGTTATCAATGGTAGGTGATGTGAGAGAATGAATGCCTTAATAACAATTTTAAGACAACAGTGAAATGGAAGCATAGAGAGAGAGATAGAAGGTAGCACTCCCACACCCTCTTTATTTTTAATTAATTAATTAATTTTCTTTGTGAAGATGACTTCTTAGCAAAAATATAATCTTTTACTTTTATATATATATATATATATATATATATATATATATCTTGTAATTAGTTTGTATAAATAGTGATGCTGGGCAATAAAATTAGAGATATGAATTCCTCCGACAAATATTTTCTTGCACTTTCTTCGTACAGTGCAATATTGTTCTTGTTTAATTTCTATACTTCAATATACGTGTGTATATATATGTATATAGGGGTCATTAGCAATACACCCCTCCTATAGATAAAATATAGTGATATGTCCATACCATAATTCTTCCTTTGTGAAAACCCCCTAAAATATTTATTTCCAATCTTACCCTTATACCACCCATTACGTTTTTTTTTTATAATAATTATCTAGTATTAACAAAATTCCTATTAATAAGGCAACTAAATCCCACGTTTTTTTTTATAATAATTATCTACTATTTACAAAATTCCTATTAATGAGGACCTAAATCCCACTAATTAGGATTAATTAATTAGTATAATTTATCTCAATTATTCCTTTTTTCTCTCTTTCTATAATAACAATTTAATTCCTAAAAATCTGCTTTCAAATTCCTAAAAAATTGCTACCAAATCAAAAAAAAAAGTATTTTCGGACTTTATTTTTTTATTTTTTATTTTTATATTATTTTCGGACTTTATTTAGCCATTTTTTATTTATTTTATTTTAATATTTTTTAATAAAAATAATTTTTTATTTATTTTTTTATTTTTTTTAAACAAAAAATTGAAAAAAAAATTCTCCACAGGTTTGCAACGCCGAATATGACTATAATTGAATATGACTACTATATGTGACTATATTAATTGTAGTCATATTTTTTCTTTATATTGTTGTTTTTTATATTTTGAACTTAAAAGTTCCGATTATATGGCATAGTCATGTTTACCAAATCATATAAAACAACGAAGATTTCCTATTGTTTACGAAAACAATCCAATCAATATCCACACAAAAAATCATTTGAATCTACTTACTAGAAGTCAACTTGAAAACGAGAAGATCACTTATATTCAACAATAGTCATATTCGAATATGACTACCGTCATATTCGAAAAATACATAAATATGACTATAGTCATATTCGAATATGACTATAGTCATGTTACTGCTGTTATTCAAATCTGGAAAACAAAATCGAAAAGTCCATAAATAAAGATAGAAAAATACCGAGAGAGAGGGATGGGAGTCGAAGACAACGGCGGGGGCGGTGGTGAAGGAAAGAGAGTGAAAGAGGCGGCGACGGTGGTGGTGGAGGCATCTGGAAAAAAAAAATGGGAAAACGAGAAAGATAACGAAAAATAGAGAAAAAGCCTTACATGGAAACAAAGGATGAGGCGGCGGTAACGAGCGGCGACGGTGGTGGTGGTGTACAAATCTATATGTGGAGACGATGGTGGTGTAAAGAGAGAGAAATCGATAGAGACAACGAACCCGAGAAATTAATAAATCCCTAACCGAGTGAATCAGCAATAGTCATATTCGAACCAGACTATAGTCACGTTGATGCTTCTGCTCCAGATCTGGAGAAAAAAAAATCGAAAATAACGAAAGAGAATGAGGGGGATGCGACGACAACGACGGTGAGTGAAAGAGAGAATGGGGAACAAACAAGAAATTCATAAAATCCCTAATCGAGTGAATCAACAATAGTCATAATTATTAACAGAACAGTGAGAATATGACTATTATGTGACTACTCTGTAAATCGAAATAAAATGAAATCAGATACAACTCGGACGACACAAACCCCATACATTTTGCTCCGAACAAAACAAACGTTCGTAAATTGCGAACCAAATATTATAATCCATAGGCT